TTGCCGTGGGAGGTCCAGTCGTTTCAATATGATGATATATTCCATGTTCCGTTTTAATACCAGGAAGAGTCGAGGCTTGATAGACATCTGGATATTTCATTAACAATTTATTGTACACAGAGTCATCTTTCACCAATGTTGTTATGCCTAGTGACGGATATTTAGAAACTTTCGCTGAAACTTGCAGATCAGTTTTGCCATCAATCAATGCTTTACGCTTAAGATCAGGAAGAAGATGAAAATGTTTTAAAAAATCAGAACCAATAATGGGTTTTGTAACATCTGCTGTAATAAAGGTCCAAGAAAAATTTCTCCGTAATCTAAAATCTATATGCATAATTTTCTGACCGAAAGTACGAATTGAAGAACCATTAGCAGCAAAAATTTTAATACCGCAGTCTGACGTTTTTGAAGTGTTGAAACTCGGAGGAATTACAGACACGTCGGCTCCGGTGTCAATTAAAAAATCTCTGTTGGAAAGCTTATCTTTAACAAAAAGGCGACACGAGATACCACTGTCATCTGGAATTGTCGTAACTTCCGAGTGGTCCTCTAGTTTTTTGAGAAAGAGCATAGGGACACACACTTTGTTGCCTTTTCAGCGAACCGATTATGGTACCAACACCAGTCTCTGCGTCGTGATTTACTTCTGCTACGTGATTTGCTGTTATTACCTGTCTCTGAACGAGTTTTAGAGCGGTTTCTAGAAAATTTGTTGAACTTCTTTTCTAAAGCTTCAATTTGACGGGATATTTTGGTCAGATCAATACTGCCAGTTGCAGCAGTTACTTCATAAAGTTGTGGCGAACGTAGACTCATGATCTTATCTGCTTGCAGAGCTAACGAAGACAAATCACTTACTTGACTTATTGTTAAAATAGACCGAACATCTTCTGGAAGTTGTTCCAAAAATAGCGTCTTGAGAACAGCATCATTTAATTGACCAGAAGCAAGATTTTTCATAACTTGAAGCAAATGCGATGGTTTTTGATCTCCTCATTCTTGACTTTTCAGCAGTCTGCGGAGTTTTGTTTCCTGAGATTCGGAAAAAGTTTCCATAAGGCGATTTTTAACGGCAACAAATCTACCATCAGCAGGAGGGGATTCCAAAATATCACAAATATGAGGAAGAAAATTTGAATCGATATTTGCTATAACGTATTGGAATTTGGTATCATCGCGAGTGATACCAGAAATTGCAAAAAAATTGCAACCTGCATAAACCATAATTTTGGATTTTCTTTCCAGAATGGAGGCAGCTTGTGGACACTAGAAGCAGCAACATTACGGGCTTGAGAGCTTTCATTCCGACCATCTGCTAATTGATCCGAATTATCCGCGGAATTGGGCATTGTTACATTAGTTTTGTATTTGTTTTTTTTTTTTTTGTATTCAACGGTTTAAAACGCGGGGTCACCAATTAATGTGCGTGGTTTATGTATTTTTAATTGAAACAAAGGCACATTTATGTAAAAAAATAACAAAACTTATATTTGGTTTTGAAAGAAATGCAAGAACTGAAAAAATTATAATTTCAAAAAAAGTATTTTCTTGGCAATTTAAAATTCAAAGAAGAAGTGGTGTAAGTTTACAAGTACAAACATTGTATATATATATATATATATATGTATATATATATATATATATATATATATATATATATATATATATATATATATATATATATATATATATATATATATATATATATATATATATATATATATATATATATATATATATATATATATATATATTCCTAAATAATAATAACAAATGATTGCTACTACTAATTTACGATGTTTGGAAATGGTCTAACGACGGTGGAGTGATTATAGCTGCCTCCAATACCTTTTCATGCCAATTACTGGATATTGATTCTTCTCTAAATATTGAGTTCCTTGCCGTCGAAGTCAAAAACAATTTGAAAAAATGTCCATAACATGCTCATATATTGCTCCATCATCACCGCAAATAATTTATGAAAAGCATAGCCATGCATTAAAAGCAGTTTTGCAAAAAAACTAAGCTAGAGGATCTAATTTGTATATATATATATATGTATGCGATTTTGAAATACAAACATGTTGTGGAATTTTTTACCTGGGGATAAATACAATTGTAAAGTGTGCGCCTAAACATGCACTCAATTTAAAAGAAGAGCGAAATTAAAACAAAAAAAATATATATATTTATATATATTTTTTTTTTTTGCAAAAAAACTAAGCTAGAGGATCTAATTTGTATATATATATATATATATATATATATATATATATATATATATATATATATATATATATATATATATATATATATATATATATATATATATATATATATATATATATATATATATATATATATATATATATATATATGTATGTATGCGATTTTGATATTCCAAACATGTTGTGGAATTTTTTACCTGGGGATAAATACCTGTTGCCTGAAAATATACACCAATTAACATACACTTGTTGATTTTGGTATTGTATCCGTAACACCTATAATAAGTTATTGGACCTCATATTTTTAAATCAAGTGGATAAATGTTACATTAAACGAATTGATCCTTTAACATTCCTCGAAGATCAGCACCATCCAACTATAAAAATTAATGTTTTGTTTCCTACTGGAAACCAAATCATACCCGTGACCCAAAGTGAGAAATCCTTATGTTTTTCGAAAATAAACTTTGAGCAGTTACGATATTTTTACAAAAAGCTATACGATCCCATTGATACTAGGCTACCGAAACATGTAATTAAGAAGCTTTCTAGTCCGCCATGGAACTCTACAGCTTTGGCAAAGGCTAAAAATGTGAAAAATAAACAATATAATATATATAAAAAGGCAGGATCTTCCATTGACTACGGAAGATATTCTGTAGCACGGTCTGAATATACTACTATGTATAATATTTGTTATTCAAATTATCTGACCAAACTCAAAAACAACTTCAAACAGAATCCGAAGTCTTTCTACAAATTTGTCAATTCGAAGCGCAAATCCACTGATTTTCGACTAAATTTAAAGTACGAAGATGCTGAATCCTGTGATAAAAACGTTATGTCTAACTTGTTTGTAGACTTCTTCAGTACAACATATTCTACTAAAACATTTAACTGCAATAACTACCCCTTCGAAATTAACACTAATCAATCAATATCTTTTTCACTATTAAACACTATGGTTTTAAATGGATTGAAAACTTTAAAGTATGGCTATGATTTTAGACCGGATAAGATCCCGAGTTGCATCCTGAGGAAGTGCGCCGATGTTTTTGTTTATCCTCTTACTATATTGTTCAATGCTTCCATAACTCAAGCTGTATGTTTGGAAAACATCGTATATCATTCCACTTTTCAAAAACGGAAATAAATCTAACGTGGCTAATTACCGAGGGATAGCAAAATTAAGCGTAATTTCAAAGCTTTTCGAAAAACTGATTGCTAAAAACCTTATCCATTGCGTTAGTTCTATTGTTTTACCCCATCAGCACGGATTTCAGAGTAAGTGTTCTACAACAACAAACCTCATTCAGTTCACTATATTTATAAATCGAGGATTTCTTCAAGGAAAGCAAACTGATGTAATTTACACGGATTTCAACAAGGCATTCGATAAAGTTAATCATAAATTATTACGATTAAAACTTGAAAACATTGGATTTTCAAATAGAAGTTCCAACTGCATTTTTTCATATCTACAAAGAAGAACACAAAAAGTATGTTTTAAAAATGCTCTCTCGAAGAGTATGGTTTCTTCTGGAGTCCCACAAGAAAGTCATCTAGGACCACTCCTATTTTCTTTATTTATAAATGATCTACCTTCATCTATAAAGTTTTTGATGTATGCCGACGATGTGAAAATATTTCTTAGCATTTCGGGAATATGTAAGAAAAAGTTGCTTCAAAATGATTTGAGTTCGTTTGTTAACTGGTGCAATATTAATCTTCTGGAAATTAATTATTCGAAATGCAAACTTACGAGAGTCACAAGAAAAAAATTATTGGATACTTGTTACACCCTCGGTGAAAAAAAAAGTTGATACATTTGTTGATCTTGGAGTTGTATTGGATTGTAAACTTAACTTTAATTCTCATATTTCTGTTTCTATAAACAAAGCAAAATCAGTTCTTTGTTTTGTGAAACGTTGGAGTAAGGAGTTTAAGGATTCTTATGTTCCAAAAAATTTATACATGTCAATTGTTCATCCAATGTTGGAATACTCTTCGGTCATATGGGATTCAATTTATAAAGCACACAGCGTCCGCATCGATTCTGTTCAAAAACAATTCTTACTGTTCTGTCTACGAAGTTTGAACTTTTCATATGATAATCTTCCACCATACACTGATAGACTCTCACTGTTCAAACTGCCAACTCTGGAAAGCCGTAGAAAAATGCTAAATGTCTCATTTCTTTATAATGTGATTATGGGTGATATTTCTGCTGGTTTTCTTGTTAACAACATTAATTTCAATGTTCCTCAACGTACTACCCGCCACTATGCACCACTGGCAACTCAATTCTCCAGAATGAGCTATGCAAATGCTGACCCTTTAACAAGAATGTCAAAAGATTTTAACGCATTTTATAATTTTATCGATTTTACAATGGATCTTAATACTATAAAAAGTAAAAAAATAATGTTTTGAAATTCTTAATTTTAATTATACAATTATTAGTTATGTACATATATAGTCTGTAAGGAATTATCCAAAGACTAATAGGTTAAATAAATATACTGAATAAAAGTTAATTTTTTTTCTAAGCAAAGAATTTGTTCAAATTATTGAGTTTTCAAACGCACCTAATATCAGCTGTTGTACTTAAGCGAATTATAATAACACTATGGATTGTTATTGTTCCTTGTTTTGATTTTTTGTTTGTTAATTTTACCCTTGCTCCTAATTTTTCTTATGAGAAGAAAAACGTAACACAATTTGACGTAAATTACAAATTTATTAACCAATTTATTACGTTTCTTCTAGATATTTTCTGCAGGAAATTCAAACGAGAGAAACTCTTATAGCACGTGGGGATTTCGGGAGTGGAGTGGAACATTTGGCAAACGCTCTAGTTCTTTGTGGACAACCCACGCGTTTATTCCAGACAAGTATTTGCTATGCTTATATTAAAAATGCAAGAATTCAGAAATAGATCAAGTGGTGAAACTGAAGAAGTTCCAAATATTGTATCGGCTAACAAATCTGATATGGCACCTGTGGGAATGAGTGGTTCAGCAGGAGGCCTAATAACTCATGACAAAAGTTGACTGTTTCAGACTTATATTATGAATTGTTCCCTAATGAATTTTTAAAATGGTTTAGTTGTTGGATTCTAAATAAAAGAAAATATTATTCATCTTGTTATGGGAGTTTCTGCCTTTTGAATTAATGGGTGGCATTCATTGAATCATATAAGGGGTGAATCCGAATTGGTATATTTTACAATAAATAACATTTGGTTGCATAATAAAATATGGTTTTGTAACGCAATCTAAGAATTTTTTCTCAATATTTTATCCCAAAATTCATTTTCACGTACAAATATTCACTTATAACAAAAATTGCAAAATAAAATCAGAAGAAAAAATGGTAACATGCTGGTTATGTTACGAAAATTGCCATCTTAAATGTATTGACATTTTGGGGCTTGTTGCGGATGCCATTTCGAACAACAAGGGACTTCACTGGTGCTGTGCGGGTTGCAGAAAAATTTGAGTGAGTTTTTACCGATTTTTCCAATCGCAAAAACAAACTTTTCTGCAGATTCTAGAAGATTTGGCTAAACTTTCTAATCGAATAAATGATTAAGGTAAATTATTTGAAAATTATAAGCTGTTAGAGTATATGAATTCACCACAATCATCTCCGAAGCGTCGAAAGTCGGCTAGGAATGTAGACAAAGAAAAACGCTCTGAAAATGGCTCTATGGTACATCATTATCAAACACCCCTTCCGCGCCAATTCTTGATTCAACGTCCAATAATTCATCACCTATACCTTATCTTCCTTCATTCAATCTCCCTACGTCAAATAATCTAATTAGCTCATACAGTACTTCGGTTTGAACGTCTAACAAACCAAGATCCTGAAACAGTCGTCAATCCTTCTTCTCCTTATAACGTAACCCCTGTTGAGCATTTTCATTTCAAGACTTCCTGCCCATACCACTACTGAGACAATTGACCGTTACATCATATCTAAAATTGGAATATTTAATGATATTTACATACACAAATTCAACAACGTTCAATTGCATCATGTATGTATACTCGTATATTGTATACTCGTCCTATTGATCCTGAGTTCTGGCCGAAACATACTATTGTTCGTGAATACATATCTAGAGAAAGACAAATGCCTGATAATAATGATTACATTCAACAAAACTCCGTTAACTTCTCCAAAAACTAAGCACTTTTAGTAATGATACATTATCTATTGCCTATCAAAATGTAAGTGGTATTGATCTAGAATATCGAAATTGTTTGTTAACAGTTTTACCTTTGAACATCACATCTTAGTAATGACTGAGACCTAGTTAGATGAACGTATTTTTAACTCTAAAATCCTGTCAAATAAATACAATATCTTTAGACGTGACCGTGGAAGCAATGGCGGTGAAGTGATCATAGCTGTCTCCAATACCTTTTCATGCCAATTGCTGGATCTGGATTCTCCTCTAAATATTGAGTTCCTTGCCGTCGAAGTCGCAAATAATTTATGAAAAGCATAGCCATGCATTAAAAGCAGTTTTGCAAAAAACTAAGTCAATGGATCTAATTTGTATATATATATGTATGTGATTTTGATATACAAAACATGTTGTGGAATTTTTTACCTGGGGATAAATACCTTTTGCCTGATCTTGATATTTTTTGATCTTGGTATTTTTCAAACAAATTTTATACGTAACACCTATAATAAGTTATTGGACGCCATATTTGTAAATCAAGTGGATAAATGTTACATTAAACAAATTTATCCTTTAACATTCCCCGAAGACCAGCACCATCCAACTATCAAAATTAATGTTTCGTTTCCTACTGGAAACCAAATCATACCCGTGACTCAAAGTGAGGAATTCTTATGTTTTGTGAACTTATGCATAACACAGGCTGGGATATCCCGTTGTCTAGCCGTTACGATTTAAATGGTGCTATCGATATTTTTACAAAAAGCTATACGATCCCATTGATACTAGGCTACCGAAACATGTAATTAAGAAGCTTTCTAGTCCGCCATGGAACTCTGCAGCTTTGGCAAAGGCTAAAAATGTGAAAAATAAACAATATAAGATATATAAAAAGGCATTGACTACGGAAGATATTTCGTAGCACGGTCTGAATATACTACTATGAATAATATTTGCTATTCAAATTATCTGACCAAACTCAAAAACAACTTCAAACAGAGTCCAAAGTTACTAAATTTAAAGTACGACGATGCTGAATTCTGTGATAATAACGTTATATCTAACTTGTTTTGAAAACTTCTTCAGTACAACATATTCTACTAAGACATTTAACTGCAATAACTACCCCTTCGAAATGAACACTAATCAATCAATATATTTTTCATTATTAAACACTTTGGTTTTAAATGGATTGAAAACTTTAAAATATGGTTATGAGTTTGGACCGGATAAGATCCCGAGTTGCATCCTGAGGAAGTGCGCCGATGTTTTTGTTTATCCTCTTACTATATTGTTCAATGCTTCCATAACTCAAGCTGTTTTTCCTGAGGTTTGGAAAACATCGTATATAGTGTGTGTAATTACCGAGGAATAGCAAAATTAAGCGTGATTCCAAAGCTTTTCGAAAAACTGATTGCTGTTTTACCCCATCAGCACGGATTTCAGAGGAAGTGTTCTACAACAACAAACCTCATTCAGTTCACTACATTTATAAATCGAGGATTTCTTCAAGGAAAGCAAACTGATGTAATTTACACGGATTTCAACAAGGCATTCGATAAAGCTAATCATAAATTATTACGAATAAAACTTGAAAACATTGGATTTTCAAATAGAAGTTCCAACTGGATTTTTTTATATCTACAAAAAAGAACACAAAAAGTATGTTTTAAAAATGCCCCTTCGAAGAGAATGGTTTCTTCTAGAGTCCCACAAGAAAGTCATCTAGGACCACTCCTATTTCCTTTATTTATAAATGATGTACCTTCATCTATAAAGTTTTTGATGTATGCCGACGATGTGAAAATATTTCTTAGCATTTCGGGGATATGTAAGAACCAGTTGCTTCAAAATGATTTGAGTTCGTTTGTTAACTGGTGCAATATTAATCTTCTGGAAATTAATTATTCGAAATGCAAACTTATGAGAGTCACAAGAAAAAAATTATTGGATACTTGTTACACCCTCGGTGAAAAAAAAAGTTGATACATTTGTTGATCTTGGAGTTGTATTGGATTGTAAACTTAACTTTAATTCTCATATTTCTGTTTCTATAAACAAAGCAAAATCAGTTCTTTGTTTTGTGAAACGTTGGAGTAAGGAGTTTAAGGATTCTTATGTTCCAAAAAATTTATACATGTCAATTGTTCATCCAATGTTGGAATACTCTTCGGTCATATGGGATTCAATTTATAAAGCACACAGCGTCCGCATCGATTCTGTTCAAAAACAATTCTTACTTTTCTGTCTACGAAGTTTGAACTTTTCATATGATAATCTTCCACCATACACTGATAGACTCTCACTGATCAAACTGCCAACTCTGGAAAGCCGTAGAAAAATGCTAAATGCCTCATTTCTTTATAATGTGATTATGGGTGATATTTCTGCTGGTTTTCTTGTTAACAACATTAATTTCAATGTTCCTCAACGTACTACCCACTGCATCACTAGGAATTCATTTCTCCAGAATGAGCTATGCAAATGCTGATCCTTTTACAAGAATGTCAAAAGATTTTAACGCATTTGCATAATGTTTTGAAATTCTTAATTTTAATTATGCAATTTTTAGTTATGTACATATATAGTCTGTAAGGAATTATCGAAAGATTAATAGGTTAAATAAATATACTGAATAAAAATAAAATTTTTTTCTAAGCAAATAATTTGTTCAAATTATTGAGTTATCAAACGCACCTAATATCAGCTGTTGTACTTAAGCGAATTATAATAACACTATGGATTGTTATTGTTCCTTGTTTTGATTTTTTGTTTGTTAATTTTACCCTTGTTTCCAATTTTTCTTATGAGAAGAAAAACGTAACACAATTTGACTTAAATTACAAATTTATTGACCAATTTATTATGTTTCTTCTTGTTTTTTTTGCAATTCAAATGAGAGAAACTCTTATAGCACGTGGGGATTTCGGGAGTGGAGTGGAACATTTGGCAAACGCTCTAGTTGTTTGTGGACAACCCGCGCGATTATTGCAGATTTTGCAAACAACTTTGTCACTACAAGTATTTGCTACGCTTATATTAAAAATGCAAGAATTCGGAAATAGATCAAGTGGTGAAACTGAAGAAGTTCCAAATATTGTATCGGCTAACAAATCTGATATGGCACCCGTGGGAATGAGTGGTTCAGCAGGATGCCTAATAACTCATGACGAAAGTTGACTGTTTCAGACTTATATTATGAATTGTTCCCTAATGAATTTTTAAAATGTTTTAGTTGTTGGATTCTAAATAAAAGAAAATATTATTCATCTTGTTATGGGAGTTTCTGAATTTTGAATTAATGGATGGCATTCATTGAATCATATAAGGGGTGAATCCGAATTGGTATATTTTACAATAAATAACATTTGGTTGCATAATAAAATATGCATTTGTAACGCAATCTAAGATTTTTTTTCTCAATATTTTATCCCAAAATTCATTTTCTCGCACAAAAATATTCACTTATCGATAAAATGCGAATCTATTTTTGGATAAATACGAAGTCGGTATTCGATCATTCAACATACACATTCTGCTGGAATCTGAAACTCATTTCATTTCGAGAAACTGTTTTAAAATAAACGGTTACAGTATATCTGACACTAGGCACCCTAGTGGAAGAGCTTGCGGTGACGCCGCGATGATAAAGCCATGTGGGTAACATTTGTCCTCCAAGACATAATAAAAACAAAGATAAAAGCACACATTTCTTCTCATTTTTTGAGAGAACATTAATTGCAGCTGGCGATTGTAACGCTGAAAACACTTTCAGGGAATTTAGACTCTCTACACCCAAAGGTAGAAAACTTGTAAACTCAATTTCGTCCGCTACACTGGATGTTATACCTACTGGTCAGCCTTCTTACTGGTCTTTAGGCTTGCAAACACGTCCTAATTAAATTGACTTTGCGGTAATAAATTATATTAAAAGAGAACAAATGTCTGTGGTACTTT